AATTTCTGTTAGTATAACCAAGAACTCTTGTTTACTCTTTAACATATTACAGCTAAATACAAAGCAAAGGAAAACAAAATTCCATAAGGTACTCCAGATGTGGCTTCAACAGAGTAGTATACAAGATTACAGTATTATTATTATTACCTTTAGATTTCAAATTTCTATGAATAAAACCAATAATTGTATTTTATTTTAATCACAGACAAAAGAAGAATGCTAGGTTTTTGTTAACAATCAGACCCAAATGTTTTTTCTCTCCATACCTTACATGTATAACACCTATACGCTAGCTCTCACACACAGTAGTATGATAAAAACTTGTAACACCTATTAAAACCTGTATTTTGAAGGTATTGATATTTTTTGTGAAAATGAACAACAGTCATAGCCTATAAAAACCTTTAATTTTTCAACCAACATGAAGTAACCCACCCCCCAAGCCCACGTTTCTCAACACCCACAAGAAAACCACCGCCAACCAGTACTCTACCACCCATCCTAATACAACAGACTAAGCTACTCAAACCTCACCCACTCCTGATTCACAAGATATGTCAACCAAAACCACCACTACTGGGAGAAAAACAAGCACCCAGACCCAGCCACAAGTCTTCACAGCTACCAACGACGCCTATCAGCGAACCAACAAGCCACTTTCTACAACATCATCGGCGTCAAACTCACCAAACGCCCTAGTAATCGACACCTCCCCGATATCTACCTACCTGACGAACCTGTCTGTGTCTTCTGCTCACTCACCAATGACACCGAGGACTCCACGCCTCCACCACCTGCCTGGATCCAGAAACTGAGCCACTTTAAAACCATGATGAACACCAGGAGACTCCACAACAGAGTCAATAGCTAATCCACTCCCCCAGCACCGGACTTCACTTTACCTTCCCTACTTACTTCTTCACACTAATCGGGCACTGGTAACGAATCAATCGTTACCAGTGAAAGTGGGTTTTCTCGGGGTACTCCCGTTTCCCCCGCATTACATTCTCGGCATAGGATTTTTAGATCCCCGCCACCCTTATGGACCATCTGTCCAATATCGGCCGTTTAGTTTAGTTTACTTTGCTCATCACTTTTTATTGTCTACAGTTACTCTCTTGATTACCTTTTTAAAGTTACATACCTTGTCTGCATTAATTTCCTATTTTCTCAAGTTAAGCCCACATTCCTAGACCACGAGCGGGGTGAAGGAGGATTGTTTAATAATCGAGCACCCCAGATTAGTAATTATTTCTTCGGAAATAATTATTTTTAAATCTAAATAACTGCCAGGAACAAACAAACAAACGAACTTGAACCTGGCATATATGTGTGTGTTTTTATGTTTTCATAGAAACTTGTTAAAACCAGGTCTTTGGAGAAAAGGTGAAAGTTCTTCACATTAATGGTAAACAAAACCTATAACAAAAGCCTAATTAAGTGGTCCCATGAGTATTGCGATTTTATAAGTTATTAAGGTTTGAAAATTGGTTGTTTGCGAATGAAATTTTGCATAAAATCTATCAAAAACTCGTATTGTTTTGGCCAATAATTCTATAAAACTTTATATTTTCATTTTACAGCCTAGTTTGTTTTTTTTTCTAAATAACCTAGGATGCTTGTATTTCCCAAAATTCCATAATATACATGTACTGCAAGTGCAATTCTTAATGTGAAAACTTGTTTTCCTCATTTCAGCCTAGTTCACTAAAATGATCAAGCTTCATTTATTATCATAGAAGCACTTTCAGTACAGTTAGCTTTTGACTACTCTTTCCCAGCATTTTAATATTATCAACACATTTATAAATAGTGTTGCCTAAGAAGCTATTCAAATTGTAAATATAAATAATAAGAAACAATGGTTCCAAACACCCTGATGGATCCCACTAGTCAGTTTCTCTAAATAAGAAAAAATTTAATTTAGTACTGTTCTTTACATTTTACTATAAAGCCAATTTTTTATGAATTGTTTAATTTAACCACTATATTTATAAACATTTAACCTAATAATCAGTTTCTTATGAGTCATGTTAACAATAGCTTCTTGAAAATCAATTTACACAATATTATTGAGAATGCTCTCATCCATAAATGTGGATCAAAGGTTATATAAAAAAAAAAGGTGGAACAACAAGAAACAACCTTATGTATAGCCATGCTGAAAATTAATAATTAAACTGTAGATCTTAAAATATTTTTTAAAGAGCTTATGATGATGCTTGTTGTGAATTTCAACACCATGCAAACAACAGAAGACAAATTAAATAGGCTTATAGTCCCCTAATCCCTTTTCCCTGTCCTCTAAAAATGGCAATCTTCCAATCATCAGAAATTTCCTTTGTGCAAAAATACATTTGAAAAACAGAGGAGCTAGCTGTGCCAATATAGGTAGCACAATACTATAAGTGGTCACATGCTATATACATGTTTAAAAGTGGCTCAAAATTTGTGGGGTGTATAGACTAGTGTCCTGAGTGTTAACTTTTTTTTAGCAATGCTTGGGGGACAGAAAGAAGATCGAAATAGCTTTGAGAGGAAGTAAGTCTCTATCAGAAATACATTTTTAGTGTAAGAAAATGTTAACTTTCCTCAGGCTGTTAACAGCCTTACATTAGAAGTTTGTTTTGTTTTAAACTGTGACATACAATGCTGAAATGGAGATCCATGCACGCCCACTTTATGTGTTTGTATTAAGTGAGGTTTTAAGTTGTTAGAAGACATCATAATGATGCAAAATTCTGTAGTTTTTAAGCAGATTTTTCTTTCAAAATGCTTATTTGCATACTGTCTGCATATGTAATAACACGTATTAAAATATCATAAAGTAGGTCTGACACTTCAAGATACATAATGAATAATGTTTCTAATATCACTTGCAGAAGAACAGCATACAGTGAGCATAAAGAGCCAAATAAAACCAACCATGTTCACACACACACAATTGGATATGAACTGTAGTCCAATTTGATTGACTAATACTAATGGCATGCTTGATCTATATGGTATAAGTGTGTACAATACAAGTGAACTTACATATACCATGAATTTTGTTAGCATTTGGTTTAATTTTAATGCATGTTATTCTTTTATGGCTGTTTAATGTGTATATCTAGAACTGGGTGACTTAATACATTGACTGATATAGTTGATTACTTATGAGTAATGATTACATTAGATTAATCAAAATTAATATTAAATTGATTAAAAAAATGAGTGTTGCTGGTTATTACTGCTTCCAATTATTCCAACGATTAATCAAATTTATGATTAATGTGACAGTCATGAAAATAATCAACTGACTGAAATTATAAACAAGATTACGACACTTATGATATACAACATTGTTTATTGACAAAAAGGGGACATGGATAAACGTTTCGGAA